CATATCTATTATTATTGTTATTAAGTGCTGTAAAGTAGACTCCCACCCACAGTGACCCTGTATAGAGTTTCCGAGGTGTGACTGGTGAGCTTGAACCCCCGACCTTGTCATTCAAACCAACTTTGTAGGCCCACACATTAACCCACACACTAGGACTAGACCTGCTTTATAGGATTTCTTGGCTGTTGTCTTTATGGAGTATCACAAAACCTTTCTTCCTTAGTGGTCAGTGGTGGGTTCAAGTCTCTAACCTTTATACTAGCAACTCAGAGAAAAAGGCTTGTGCCATTCATGGACCTATAGAAGATTTTACTGTTGCATAAACCCATATACATGTACCTCATAAGTATATGAAAGCTGGATTATGAGTAAGGTAGACCATTGAAGGAGCTCTGGTAGTGTAGTGGTTATGAATCGGGCTGCTAACCTCAGGGTGAGCAGTTTGAAACTACCAGCTGTTCTGAGGGAGAAAGATGAGGCTTTCTGCTCCTGTAATGATTTACAGCCTCAGAAACCCTGTTTAGGGTAGCTATGAGTCAGGACCGACTGCACGGCACATAACCACCTAACCAATGCCATACCATTGAAGAATCAGAGCTTTTGAATTATGGTGTTGGAAAAGAATATTAAAATTTTACATAACAGACTGCTAGAAAAACAAACAAATCTGTAGCCGGAATGCTACTTAGAAGCCAGGATTGGAAGACTTTGCCTCTTAATACATCTGACATGTTATAACAAGCTCTTGTGATAGCATGGATATGCTGATCTAAACAGAATAGAGTCGGTTTAGTCATTAGGTCTCAATAAATGTTGTTGTTAAGGGCATGTCAAGTTGCCTCCGACCCATAATGACCCTGTATACAGTTTCAGAGGAGTGGCTGATGAGCTTGAACCATGGACCCTGTGGTTCAAACTAACTTTCTAGTCCACACATTATCACACAGTGCCACACCAGGACTAGAACTGCTTTATAAGACTTCTTGTCTATAATCTTTATGGAGCAGAACACAAGGCCCTTCTTCTTTAGTGGTCATTGCTGGACCCTGCAAATGTGACAGTTAGCTTAAAAATTAAAACGAAATAAGGACCTTGCAAATGTGGAAGTTGGTTTAAAAATTAGCAGAGATGACTCCATTGTCCTAGAAGGAAACCAGGATATGCTTAAACTGACTCAGAGAGTTATATCAGAAACTAAGCAGCTTGCACCCGAAAGGTAAAATGTTTGAGGAAGTTTATTGCCTCATTGTATCTTTTTCCAAAGAATGCTCTTCTAATGTTAAAACAGATTAAGTGTATATCCAAATGTAATTCACTTTATATAATGTACCTGTTCTTGGTGATGGACAGGACAGTCTTGAGAGATTATTCTCCCTGTTCTCCAGAATGATGGCTTTCTGTTAGTAAAGCTTGGATCAGATCTCTCCCAGTCTCTGTAACTGGCTACAGTGACAGGCGGCAAGTCCTCTTTTTGGTTTTGCAACATCTGGAGAAGGACATCATGCTTGGTAGCGGGTCAGTGAAAAAAAGGAAGTCCCTCAATGAAATGGATTGGCACAGTGAGTCATAATGACTCTGCACAGGGTTCCTGAGGAATGATTGGTGGGTTTGAACTATTGATCTTGCAGTTCAAATTAACTTTATGGTCCAGTGCTTATCCTACAGCATTACATCAGGACTCCTACTAACTTACAAAGTATGTTTATTCTGAAACTGATTGCCGTATCTTTCTCAAGCAGAGTTGGAGCATTTGAACAACTGACCTTTTAGTTAGCTGTTGAGTGCTTTAACTACTGTGCTTCCAGACTTCTTCATTTTTGTTAAAAGTATTCTAAATCTTTAGACTATGCAACAGAATATAGTTTTTCCTAAGTATTTAGATTTTAGTTAGTGTTTTCTATCTTTCAACAAATATTTATTTTGTGCATGTGTTTAAAGGGAATGTGTTGGGTGGGTCTGTATATGTAAGTATATGGATGTGTGCATGTTTGGACTTCATATTACAAAATTAAAACACAGTTCTTACATAGGGAGTGATGAGCCAGAAATTGTAAGCAATGGTTGATTGTTGTGGATAAATGCCAGCAAGTTGGTTCTGACTCATAGTGACCCTACATAGGGTTTCTGAAGAGTGGCTGGTGGGTTTGAACCACCAAACTTGCATTTCAAACTGGCCTTGTGGTCCAGTGTATTATCCTACAGTACCACACCAGAACTTCAATGGTTGATTAAAGATCATTTAGGTAATTAAAAGTAAAAAAAAATCAAGTATAATAGTGAGCATCAGAGTAGATAGGAAGAAAACAATAATGGGGAAAATGTATGGGCTTATTTAATTACCCTGTGTAAAATAGCAGATGATAAACCATGTAATTATATCAGCCACGCATTCCCAACAGACAAAGTGTTGAACACCCAGAGGGCCAGACAGAGATACTTATATAACCTAGGTCATGAAAAGAAAGCACTGGTGGTCCTTGCAGATAGAGCTGCACTAATGAAATAAATCACTAGCTTGGAAGCAGGTACTGGTATTTTTTGCTTGTTCGCTTTTATTGAATGTGTATATTTCTTTTTCCTGTTTCCACTAAAATTATTTAATAAAATCAAAGGAGAATAGGCTTCTTTACATAAACTTTCATTTTAATTAAATATATTAACATGCACAGATATTAAAACTCATAGCAAAAAGCAAGTAGTAATTGGGGAGGTGGTCAGAATTGTTAATATTATTATTACTTTTTTTTAATCTCTTAGCATTCATTTATCTTTACAATGGTCTATCTTTATAATGAAAAACACTTTTAAAGGTGTTTCTACAGAGACAGATATTTAAATAAGTTCAGGCCAAGGTTGCTGAGTCCTGCACTTTGATCATTAGATGATTGTTTAGATGTCATCCTTTTCAACAACCCCTATTTTGAGTTATCCCCTTTTTCATCTATCCTCATTCTACTTTTCTTATATTCCTACAGACCAGAAGGTGCATATATCATAAGATTTATGCTATAGTTGGTTTCAGCCAAACATAACTGTGGGACCTAGAATTCAATTGGCCTCTCAACTTCCACAATCTCTTTTTAACCAAGGGCAAGCTGGTTTCAAAGGTATTGAAGAGAAACCAGAGCACATTAACACATTATATGTATATAATGTTATAACTTTTGGAAACTGAGATGGGGAACATAAATCAGGCATGACTCTGAGGTTATGGGAGTTGATTGGGCATGTGAATATTTTTATCATGGTTCTCTGATCATAAGTTTTTTATAGAGTAACACTGAGGGATCACACAGGAAGCCACACTTCCTTTTTGTTTCTTTTTCACCTGTGCTTACAGCATCGCTGTTATTATTTCCAAAATGTTCTTCATAGTTTCCCTGAGCAACAGAAACCTGCAAAAGGGAGAATGGCTGGTCTTGGCACTGTAGATAAACACTCTATCATAAGGTCCATTTGAACTGCAAGATCAGTGGTTCAAACTTACCAGTAACTGCTCAGAAACCCTATATAGGGTTGCTATGAGTCGGAACCAATTTGAGAGCACTCAACAAGAACAATAGTTCACGTCAGCCTATTGTTCCTGGAGATCCTTCTACCATGTTTTCTAAAAATCACTATGTGTTGTACCATAGCAGGTCCTGATTCACAGGTTGTGTCCACCCCAGTGACAGTGGGATGCAGACTTTTTTCATTGAGTTTGGACATGACCTGAGGAGCTGTTGGGGAAAAAAGCAGAAATATTCTATCCAATAACCTGTTATAGCTCTATCTCTGATTATTTTGTGTGAAAAATAGGGGACAGTGAAATTTGAACTGATCATTTAACTATGTTTCTACATTACAGATCTAACTGAAAAGTTGGGGGGAAAAAGAACTTCTTATCAGATGATGTCGAATATTTGAATCAACTAATTGTAAGAATCATGACCTTGAACTCTCAAATTATCACTTTCCTAATCTATAAAATAAGAATAGTAACAGCTATCATGAATTTAACGTAGGTGTGTGCAGAAATAACATGATATATTTCTGATAAAAGTGTGCAGCAAATTTTGAACAGAACAAAACCATCCCCAAAGCTACTGAGTGACTCAAACACATAATTATCCCATATATTATAATTAGAACTGTGCTGCATAGGAATTTCTTACCTGTCATCTTTATGGAATGCTGCTGTGGCTATATACAAATGCTGGACTGATAACTGCAAGGTTGGTGATGCAAACCAACTAGCTGCTCCTCAGAAACCCTATATAGGGTAGCTATGAGTCAGAACCAACTCAAGGGCACTTAACAGCAACAACAACAACCTTTAAGAAATTAGATTGTAAAGCCTTTCTCCCACATTGCTAAACTTTCAGGTTACCAGTCCAGTGCCTAATCCATTGTGTTGCCCAAGGACTTTGTAAACTTTGTGTTGTTTTTGTTAAGTGCCATTGAGCCAGTTCAGACTCAGCAACCCCTTATAGGATTTCTAAGGAGTTGCTGGTGAGATTGAACTGCTGACCTTAGGTTCAAACTGACCTATGGTCCTGTGCTTATCCTACAGCACCACACCAGGATTCCATGGGACTATAAGAATGTATAGCTCTGGTAGTGTAGTGCTTACGAATCGAACTGTGAGCCGCAAGGTCAGCAGTTCGAAACTACCAGCTGTTCCAAGGGAGAAAGATAAGACTTTCTGCTCCCGTAAAGATTTCTAGCCTAGAAAACCCTGTACAGGGTCACTATGAGTCAGAATTGACTCCACAGCACATAACAACAACATAGAATGTAAAGGATATTATTACCATTATTATTTAGAAGATCTGCATAATAATAGTACATTCCCCAGTTGAGTCAATTGACTTCTAGCAATCCTAACATTCTTTCTTTACTGATTTTTCATTATAAAAAAGAGAAAGGACCTGGGGTTAAACTGTGAGGACAGTAGAATGATACTAACCTTTCATTGCCATTTCCTTCTTTCAGGATGAGGGATTTCATAAATTTTAACAATGGCTGCTGAGAATCACACTGTGTTTACAGAATTCATATTGCTAGGGTTTTCTGACAGAAAGGATGTGCAGCGGGGACTCTTTGTGCTCTTTCTCCTGGTTTATGGCATAACTGTTATTGCCAATCTAGGAATGATCTTACTAATCAAGATGGACTCCAGGCTTCACACACCAATGTATTACTTTCTGAGCAATCTGTCTTTCTGTGATGTCTGCTATTCCTCCACTGTCTCTCCCAAGATGCTGGCTGATTTCTTATCTGAGCAAAAGAGGATTCCATATAACTTATGTGCCATTCAGATGTATTTTTTTGGAGCCTTTGCAGATGTAGAATGTCTTATGTTGGCTGCCATGGCCTATGATCGTTACGTAGCCATTTGCAATCCACTTCTTTATACAGTTGCCATGTCTGGGGGGATCTGTACCCAGTTAGTGTCTGGTGCTTACATTGTAGGCTTGGTGGATTCAGCAATCCACACATGCTGCACATTTCGACTATCATTCTGTAAGTCCAATGTTATCAATCATTTTTTTTGTGACATCCCACCCTTGCTTGCTCTCTCCTGCTCAGATACATCCATCAACGAGATAGTGATGTTCACTTTTATTGGCTGTGTTGTGGGGTGCAGCATTATAACTGTCCTTCTCTCCTACAGCTATATCCTAACAACCATCCTTAGAATGAACTCAGCTGAGGGGAGGCGCAAAGCCTTTTCCACATGTGCCTCCCACTTAACAGCTGTGGCTATATTCCATGGCACATTACTGTTCATGTATTTCCGACCAAGCTCGAGTTACTCTATGGACACTGACAAAATGGCTTCTGTTTTCTACACAGTAGTGATCCCTATGTTAAACCCACTGATTTACAGCCTGAGAAATAAGGATGTGAAAAGTGCTCTGAAAAAAACAATCAGCACAAAACATGGGTGAAACCATGTTTTCCACCTAAAATTATTTAATGAAAGATGTTTAGAACTCAAATGGAAGGACTTTGACATAGTGCCTGTAGTTTTACCAATACAGTCTTATAGAAATTTTTTTTTGTTACTGATCTTTGTGCCTAAATTGAGTATAATCCACTAAACCAAGCAAAAACCTGAATCCCACTTCCATCTAATTAATTCCTACTCATAGAAACCCTATAGGACAGGGAGAACTGCTTCATGGGATTTCTGAGAATATAAATCTTTACAGAAGCAAGGAGCCTCTTCTTATTCTCAAGGAGATGCTCTTGGGTTTAAACTGCTGATTTTGCAATTAGCAGCCCAATGATTAATCCTCTGTGCCACCAGTGTTCCTCAAATTGAATACAGGGAGCAGTCTTAATCTTTTCTCCAAAGAAATAAATAGTAGTAATGGGCTAACTTTACTCTTATGCAGAGAGGGTCCCTTTATTTTGTGTCCACAAGTTTGTCAGGGTGAGATTTGAATTATAGCAACATAGCCTCTAACACCAATTCAACACACCCTCATTAAGAGTCAATTTAAAAAAAAATGGGTTTAATAAATATAGTTGCTCAGTTAGAAGGAAGTTTTTATGATTCATACTTAAACTGGCTTGTATCCTTCCTACCTAATATCATGGCACCTGGAAATGTTGCATCATAATTCATAGACATAAATAAGCAGTTTCATAATGTTTTTTAATCTTTGTTCTATATTTAATTTTTGCTGTTTGCGGAGCTAGTATCCAACCATCAATCAAATATAATTATTGATTTTTTTCTGCAAAATGGATACAAAAGTGCATTTTGTATATTTATCTAAATAGAACATCCACCATTTTATTCTAGTACATTCAGTATACATGAAAAAATCTGCACCTATTATGATTTGACCTTGTTTAACATAAGATATTGGGGAGAGGGATCATTTGGTGAAAACCTTCCCAGGTCCTCTTTTCCTCATTACTATTGTTGCTAGTTGCCATCAAGTTGATTTTGACTCATGGCAACCCATGTGTGCAGAGTACAACTGTTTCATAAGGTTTTCAAGGCTGTGACATTTTGAAAGCAGATTACAAGCCGAGTTTTCTGAGGGGTCACTAGGTGGGTGTTAACCCCAAGCTTCCAGTTAGTAATTGAGTACTGAACCATTTGTGTCCCCTAGAGACTTCTGCATTCTCCTTAACCTGCCTCAGTAATGTCAACAGATGTCTCCATGATTGGTAGTTCAAGGTTTACATTATACCTCATAATCTGAGAATCAATCTGTGGTTTTCCTTACTTCATCTCAATCTGGAGATTAGATGTGGTGATGTGATGCTACTGACAACTGTGAATCAGCATGAAAAATAGACGTTGAGACTAAAGAACTTAGACTTTCTACAAAGACCACTGTAAAAGTATAATCAATCTCCCCTAATGTATTCATGCGTTATGCAGTTAAAACTGACACAACTGAAATGCCCAAGGAATATAGTTTATGTTGCAAAGGAAATGTTATTATTGTGCATTACCTTCAGTGGGGAAAATAAAACAAGGAACATTTATAATGATTTCAATTGTCTTTCAAATGTCTGTGAAATACACTGAAACCTCATTCTAAACGAAAATTGAATACTGGTGATCTGAGTGGAAGATATTGTGTTAAATACTTTTCATTCATTTACATACTGATATACTTAGAAAAACTACAATATATATGTATTACATTAGGAAAAAAATATTAGGAAACTAATTTAATCTTAGTCCAGGTATGAGCAATTATCTATGAGTGTGCGCATGCCTGTGTAAATGGACATAATTATAAATTAATTAAAATTACTTTATTCTAAATAAAATCTTTGCTGTAATTTGTTTTACTTCATAAAACATATTTCTTACTTAATGATGTAATTATAAAATGGAAATAATCCTATAGTCTACTCCAATGACTTAGTTGCATATGCTGTTATCACTGTAATTGGCTAGCAATTAATCCAGGTATGAAAACCATATGCCCTGGGGTACTCATTTTATTTGAGGTAGTTGTTATGAAAGAAATGGAGGCATTTCCCTCTAGATCTGAGAATACAGAGCAATAATTTACATAACATTTTTTATTTATATCTTTTCCCCTATTGTACAAATTCCTTGAGCTTAAGAAGATCACAGCGGCAAAATTACTTCTTTAAACATATGGTATTCAGTAGCTTATTTATTTTGCATTACTTATTGAGCAGGGTTTGAAAATAAATGGAATTACTTGATTATCTGTTAAATATGTGTTTTCATTTAATAATCTCAAATCCCTCTATTGGTATCTTTAGAACAATTTTTATTTAAATACAAAAAATTTAGGGCATTCCAATCATGGTCTAAACCCCTTTTGAACTCGATGTCTTCTATATGAATAATGTATTGATTAGCTATATCCTCAGCTATGAATATTAAATTTACTCATATTATTTTAAATAGGCTTTTATTACCATCTTTCATAAGTATTTGCAATGAAAAATATGTCATTAGTAATTGTTTCTATAATTCCCTTGAAGGCACTGACTCAGCAACCTTTATAAATGGGTAGAAAACTAGGATTTAAATTTGTTTGTTTGAATTTTTTGTTTAAAGAATATTATCATGATGAGACCGAGTTGAAGACAAGAGGTTGTCCTTTGAAGTGAGACAGATCTGAGTTCAAATCCACAAGCTACCATTTACTTCTTAGCTGTATGGGCGCCCTCAGGATCACCTTAGCCATATTAGTTCTCAGTTTCCTCATCTATTTAGCAAGGATTAAATTATATAAAGATATATCAATCTCATAAAGGTTCTGACATTATTAAAGATCAGAAAAGTCTGATTATTTTTAAAGAAACAAATATTTACTTTTTAAAGAAGTTCACACAACTGCCTGAGCTTAATTGAGAGTTCCTGGGATGATATAAAGTCCTTAGCAATTAACTTCCCACCCAGTTAGTGATCCTTGATATGACTAAATCCTGTAAAACAAACAAACAGACAAGACACAAAAAAGCCATATTCTCCATGGCATCATCTCATGAAAGCAAATCTCCATGCCCCAGATTTCTACCCTCTTTAGAAACTGCTCATCTAGTCTAGAAGACTCTAGTTGTGGATCCTAACCTCAAAACTCCCTGGTTGTAGCTCTATCCTTCTACCACCTTAAGATTTGTTCTTCCTTAACCTGCCTCTTGGTTACAGGTTAATAGAGGTCTCTTCATGCCTATCAATTTTGGTCACAGCATTTCCACATATATTCTTCTGTCAACTACCTGGATCTGTATCTCACAACCCATAAGCACCAGAAGTGACTTTAGAAGATTAATGTGTATGAGCCTATCTTGAGGGCTATGGCCATATGGTGATACTTAGCTACTACTGGAGTCCTAGTGTGGTGCTGTTACACTGGACTGCTAACTTCAAGGTCCATGGTTCAAACCCACCAGTCACTCCTCAGAAACCCTATGCAAGGTTGCTATGAGTCGGAACTCACTCCATGGAACTCAACAACAACAACAAGCAGTAACTAAATCAATAGTTAGCTATTGTAATTGGCCCGTGCCCTTCAGAGCAATCTCTGTTCAGTATATGCAAAGAAGCACTTGGTTCTCATGAGCCTCAAACTGCATTGCACAAAAGTCTTCACTGTTGAAAGAATGCAATGGCAAAGTCTTGCCCGACCAGTATTCTACAAGGACAAATCCCTTCTTGTGAAAATAGATCCCATCTCAGTGAACAGAACAATGGTCAGAATTTAGAAACCAGAAAGCATTTTCACTGTCAGAAGGCTTTGCTCTCTTGCTTATTCTCTCTCTTATGCTTCAATCTCACATTTGTGTGTTGGTTGTTGTTCATTGTCGTTGAGTCGGTTCTGACTCAAAGCCACCCTCTATAGGGTTTCCAAGGCGTGGCTGGTGAGTTTGGATTGTATACCTTACAATTCAAAGGGACCTTGTGGTCCAGTACTTTATCCTACAGAGCCACACCAGGTAGCACTTTCTTTATACTTTCCAACCTTCCCCAAAGGTTGTGCCCAGCTGCAGATCAGCCTTCTTGTTGTTAGGTGCCATCAAGTTATTACTGACTCACAGCAACCTTATGCACAACAGAAAGAAACACTGCCTGGTTGGAACAATGTCACAATCGTTGCTACAATTGAGACCATTGCTACGGCCACTATGCCAATCCATCTTGCTGGGCGTCTTTCTTTTTTTCACAGATTTTCCACTTTACCAAGCATGATGTCCTTCTCCAGGGACTGGTCCCTGCTGATAGTATGTCCAAAATATGAGAGACCAAGTCTGGTCATCCTGGCCTCTAAAGATTGTTCTAGCTGTACTTCTTCCAACAAAGATTGGTTTGTTCTTCTTGCAGGCTATCATCCACAACTAGTGAACTGCAGGTTTCATCCTGTCAGCTTTCAGCTTGCTGTTTACCAATGTAGATTTCAGACTAAATATATTCTTGATAAATATTCAAAGAGTTGGATTTTAACTAGTCAATATTTACAAATTGCTGGGGGGGGGTTGTTTTGTTTTGTTTTACACCTAACATATTTGATAATATATTTTCAGTTACTTGTGTATACACTGTCACTATAGAAAAATTAATTTAAAAAATACTGGGAAAAAATAGTATCTGCCTACCAAAGGCATATATTTAAAATTTTCAAAAATCAACAGTAAAATTATTTAGGCTTATTTCATAAAAATTTAATCAGTAACTACACTTGGAAATATACTATAGTAGAGACAAGGAATCAATAATGATCAAGTAAGTAATGAATAAGTATAATAGAAGGACATAACACAATCACAAATAGCTTTAAGGTAAGATAGATGTTGTTGAGAGTCTTTCAGAAAACAACATGTAAGAATTAAATCTGCGAAGGAATTTTTAGAGTGAGTAGGGTTTGAAGAGTTAAGCTACAATGTTCATGTATTTAGTGGGGATACAATTAATTGAAAAATTGCATTTATTTATGTT